GCTGAAGGAACACTAAGTTAACACAGTATGCGTATTTTTATAAGACCACTACCAGCTGATTCCTCTTTTTCAGCATCCCTAAAAGGATTGTCTCTTTTACCCAAACCGTTCTTAATATCATGTGAAATACTTAAGGATAAATGATAATATCGTTCCTAATTAGGCTAATTTGTCTCTCTCCAGATAAATAGCAGTATCACTGTTTTGGTATTGCTGATGAGCACGCTTTCATCAGTGCCACTCTACTGGAAATGTTTGCGGCTAGATCTTCAGTGAGCGTTAATCAGCAGATCTTCACTGAAAACGATGGTGTTATTTTATGACAGATGGAGGTCTGTCTCTGTTTTTATTTGCTGGCCTTAACTTCATCTCCAGTGGAAATGAATCCACATAAATATCAGGTGTAGTTAACAGCTCAGGAGAGAGTGAGAACTTTGATAGTATGAAGTTTGCATGACTCACTAGGGAGGAGGTGTATGATGATGTCGAGTAATGCTTGGACCAGAGCTATCTGAACTATATTTGGCTTACGAAAACTTAAATGTGCAACATTGTCAGATCATTACCTTTTATGACCACAAAAACTCTTCAGAAATTAACATAGAAATCAAGCTGTATGCAAGAGGGATCAGCAGAGCAATTTTTAGCCTCCTTTAGGATTCACAACAATAAATTCTTTAAGCAGTCTGGGAAGTAAATGACTGGTTATCAGTCCTTAAAAACATTCAGAGAAGAGGAATGTATTAAATGATCTCCGGACTAATGCACCTAATAATCTAAGGGAGAACTGGACATTTAAGAATGATAAAATGATGGCAGGAAATGTTTTCAGGATTTTCACGATGCTGATCATATAATTGCAGCTCCAAAAAGATTTATTTGTGGTCACATAAATAATGAAATTTAAATCTGAGGAGCTACTTTGTTTTAGAAACACAAAAATACTGTACATAGAGCAGGCTTGCTCCTTCTACCATGGCAAACGTTTTTCATACTAGATAGATATAATAGGCTCTCTTCTGTCCTAAAACAGACTTCATCCAGGTATTAGTAGAATTTGTAAAAACCTTAGAAACTGTCAACTGCCTTTGTTCCCAGTTGTGTAGAAGGCTGGATCCGAGCCTCTATCTTAATTATTGACTGAGAGAGGAATCACTGCAGTGTCGTAGGGTTTCCTTGCCCGGATTTTCTTCATTGTGCAACTATTTATCTCTTCCCATACCTTGGCATCTGTTTCTTCTCCGCCTCTCCCCTGGTAGGTACGTATATATTCACCAGCAAAGTAGAGATTTTATGGAAATTTAGAAATTTATGTATACATATAGGGTATCTTGAAGAATCGGTAGGGAGCTTGACTTTTTAAAGCTATTAAAGGCAACTGGGTACAGCCGTCCATCTCAAGGTCGAATGGTTAAATAAGGGAAGGGAGCAAGTGAAAAGCTTACAGTTGACTGTGGTTTAAAGGCAATCATGGATTTGCTGGTGTCAGTACAGTTAGCGAGGGCTGGAACTAAAAAGAGGTCATGAGAATAGCTCAGATAAGTTCAGGTACAGTTTGCATACGGTCTATTTATAGGATGCTTTCTCAAACTAAGCCTGTGAACCTTTTGAAGTTTGCCCATCACTATTTTCAGGCCACTTAATGATGTACATCCAATCCCATTCTGAGATAGGTAAAACAATAAAGCAAACAAAGATAATTAGTCTCTGGAGCATGTAAACAAATAAAGTAAATCACTTGCAAATCACTTGTTTCTGCTAACTTTTGTGTTTTCTTTGCAAAACTAAAAAAGAGCATTTATGTTGCAAATCTACATAATGCTAGAGCAGTGCTGAAAATGCACAGCTTATAGTATTCTGATTTTGAGAGGGCTTTGCAAAGATTAAGCATCTGATTCTGAAACATCACTGTGAGTTGTTATACGCAAAAGAACGTTTTCATCCCTTTTTCACAGAAGAGAAGATTGAAGCAGGGAGGTTAAATAGTTTTTTTCATGGAGATAAACGTCTAAATGACACTTTATAAATAAAGTCACTGCTCCAAGTTGACAAGTCTAAGTGAAAGCACTAGTGGAGCTGAGGAAAGCAGGCCAAGATGGGGAGGAGAGCAGCTGTAGGATGTGGGACCTTGACCCACCTCAGTGATGCCTCCCAAATTTTACAGAGCTGAATGGGAGCATTATGTGGCCTTTAAAGCACAAATAACCAGAAGAGTTCTGGCTGCTAGTCCTTTTTTTTGCTTTCCAGCATAGTAGTAATCTGTTAATTGCCATACAATTTCAATGCTAGTCTTAAAGCAGTTTCTCTAAGTAAGCAGTGCTCTCCCCCTCTTGGACAGGGGGTAACTGAGGTAAGTGAAGATAACACAGCCATTCAGCAGCAGAACGTGATGCAGAGCTGGTTCTCAGCCCTGGGCTCAATACTGTAGACTTCGGATAAATGCACATTTTACAAGAACAAATAGATTCTCAGTACCATGGCTCCGGGGGGCTGTGGAGACCATGCCGTCTGGATCTGCCTGCTACCCCAGTTCAGCCAGCTGGTTCTGCAGGCCAGTCCAGAGCAGGGGTAAGCCCATTCCGTGGAAACTCAGGGCAGTACCAAAGCAGGTCCTGCCTCAAGTCATGCAATAAGAGGACTCTGTGAGCATAAACATACAGTTTTGTGTAATCAGTGAAACAGCAGAAACTCTGTTCTGAATCTGTAGAATAACAGATTCCAGTCAGAGTTCAGATCCAGGCAAAATGGCTGTTCATATGATAAAATCGCTCTTTGTCCTTTTTTTGGCATGAAAATGCAGAGCAGTTCTTTTAGTAAAGAGCAGGCGTTGCCCTGTTGTTCTGTCCCTTTTTACTGTTTTCTTACACTTTTTTGTTCTGACTTCAAAAATGGATTCTGGAAAGAGATGTGTCTTAGAAAGAGACTCTCATCAGCTGAAATGTGTCCAATATATATTTAAGTTAAAGAGTATTAAGGCTTGTCCCAAAATAAAGAGTGTAAAAGGTAAGAATGCCTGCAGGCTTGATTTTTGAAGATATGCATTTTTCTTCATGTTGCAGATCTCGCCTTGCAGATTTCTTCACAAACTGCCAGCCTGAGTCACGGTCTGTTAGTAGCTGTCTGAAGGAGAACTATGCTGACTGCCTCCTCGCTTACTCGGGGCTTATTGGTAAGAAGGCAGGGAGGGGTGGGGGCTCGTTGTTGTCCAAGAAAAACACCCGAACTATATTTTGAAGGCCCACAATAATACCGTACAATATGATGCTAGGCAAAATTCTCCACCTTAAGTGTATTGGCCCTGTGCTACCTTACAGAGATTCCTGGGGTAAATTTGTACATTGCAAGGAAATTAAGGATAGAAAATAAGGAGAGAGAGGTGCCTGAATTTGAAATAAATTCAGGCTTACAAAGTAAAGCTTATTAAGGTTGTTGAATTTGGACAGGATCATGGAGAATGAAGTTAAAAAGAGCAAGTAAAACTACAGCTTGGTTGATTTTGCAGCTGTCATTACAAGGTTGGGTAAATACCTCTTGGTCTTCAGGGAAATTTTGCAGGACATTTGAGGAATGAGACAACAGACCAACCCAGCCTTGTTTCACTTTCAGCTGCTATTCTTTCCCTGATGTCCTTCTGTCCACTCTAAATGTTTTCTGAGATGCATATCAATGGAGGTGAACTGAGACCAAATTTATCTTCTGAAATCCTCTTCCCTCCCCAACATAATTCATTTTGTTTGCTGTCACCTTCCTGACTGTCAACAGGCACAAGGATGCCTTTATGCAAGCCAGGTTCCATATACCACATGCAGTGTTTGATTCCTGAAAGAGAGGGATCATCTCAGGAAGGTGAACTTGTTGTAGAAATACCATGGTTGGGCAATAAAGAATAAATGAATGTCAAAACTCTGAAACAAACAAATTTTAAAGGCCACCAGATAAGATGTTTTTAAGCTCACAGCCTGCACCTGCTGCGATGCAGTAATATCCCCTTCTGTTGGGAGCGAAGGTCCCAGCTGAGGCCCTGAAGCAGATCCTGCTGTTAAATAAATGTCTCTGGAGATAATATACAAAATAAAATATTTCTAAAATAGGTTAGTTTTGCTGAAAAATGACTGAAAGCTATGTTCACTGGCTTATTGTTATCATTCTTATTACTCTAGCAGCTAACAAGTGAGGTAAGTCCATGTGGCAACTGGTAAAATAAGATGTGATGGTTTCAAAAGATATGCTTCTACGACTTAAGGGATGAAGACAACGTGCAAAGGGTATAACATATGAACAGTTATGACAGAATGTCATTTGACTCTAAAACAAAGAATTGAATAGCCTTGAAATCTGATCTAGTCAATGAGATTAAGAAGTCTAGCTGCTGGCAAAGAGTAACTGTTACTAATAGATACTTCTGGGTAAGAGCTGCCAAGAAGTTCTTGCTGGATCTAGTGAATTTTGCTGGCAGTTTTGTTGGATCCATTTTTCAATTTAACCGTAAGGATGACCCAGTTCCATAGTCATGTGGTTTTGTGTTACTGTGGATGACCATGCTGGAAAACACTGTCACACATCAGAAATGTGGAATGGATCCCTAAGGAGCTGAAATCAAAAGGAGATCTAATTTCCAAAGGGAAAACTAAACATTTTTCTTCCTTCCTGCTAGCCCCTAGGCACATGCAAAAAGACGGCTACTAACTAGTGTTAGAAGAGTTTTTACTTCTTGGTAGTAATTCAGATAAACCAAGAAAATTACCAAAACAAAACTTTTGAGTCCTGAAGCAGTAAATTCCTGCTTCTGATATCAAGCTGATATAAAAGTGGAGTAAATTATGTGAAGATTGTCAAATTTGTAAGATGCTGAGATCGAAATCAGAGGTACAATCTTTGACATGTCTGCTTAATACATATAAAACACGGAAGAAGAGAGAGATAGACTGTGGGTAAGAAGCTGTTACAGATCCATTCATTCATCAGAGCTTCAGGATCTCCAGGTGTTTTAATTAAGATAAAATATTGTTCATTAAGATAAAATATTATTTCATTTAGCCATTTCATTAAATGTAGCTATGATTGTGCCTCCATAGAGTTTGTTCAGGAAATTGAGGATTCTCTATGGAAGGTACAGTGGATGTGATTCTGCTGTCACATACAGTGATGTAAATCAGAGTTAACTTCACTGAAATTCGTGGAATCCCACCTGAAATAAACGACTTAAGTGGGAATAGAGTCAGGCAATTTTTGTATCAGTTGCTTTACCAGTTAAATGGAGAACAGTCTACATAGGATTCTTTAAGGTTTGCATCAGGGTGTTATATATATGATTTCAAAGTTATGTATATTTTACAGGAATTTTGAGAATCTTAATTAATTGTTTTAGGCTCCTTGTTATAGTAATAGGGATATATTAATATTGTTTAAAAAATTAAAGGAAAAACATTAAAATTATTAAATGTAGAATAAGATTGGAGATAGCCATGTTTGAGATTCAGTGTGTTCGTTACAGCCTAGTTAAGCCATGTGGACCTGTCTGCACTCCCATATCAGTTAGATATTGCTCTATTGACTTTAAGAGCTGCTTTAGCATTCACCTTCTGACACATTTTCATTTGTTTTCTGAAAAATCCATCTGACTTCCCTGGGATTCCCAGGAATTCCATGAGAGTTTATGTGAATAAACTGGAGTTGCATTGGCCCAAAGGAACCTCACTCCTCCTGGACTCACCATCCATCTCCTCATTCTTAACTGATCCTGATTTGAGCAGCCTCTTTGCTGTGTTCAGGTCAACTCTGCTTTTGTCTAAAATCAGGAGACCTTACTGCCTACTACTGAGACCATCACAGAACTATTTGATAGAGAGAGCACAGAAAACAAAGCATGTCCTATTTTACTGCCAACCACCATGGTTTCTCTGATCCGTTAGTGTCCTTCAGCAGAATTTCCAAGATGCCAGCTAGCAGAGGGGAGGAGGGGAAGGCACACACATTGCAGGGAAAAAAGAAAATCCACCCCAGGAAACCAAGCATATAATCCGCTTGGGTTCACATCTGCCCCCAGGTTTAAATGACAGGCTGATTTTCTACTAGCTGCTCTTTCAGCCACTCTGTTTTTGCTGGATGTATAGTTTGTGTGCTGTGTATATGCATTCCTTGTCCTGTCTTTCCTGTATTCATCAACTGCAATCGTAGCTTGGGATCTGTTACACTTTTAGCCCCTGTCTTGACCCATTTTAATTACCTTATTACCTCTTCGTGATAACAAAGTCTTACCTCAGTGACCTTTTTAATTTCCTCAATACCTTTCTGTTTTTTTAACCTTTCACTCAGTGTTTTCTACTTAGCCTTTTTTTTTGAAGCCTACTGTTTTCTTTCCATTTGCAAAATCCTCCTGATTTTCATTTTCTCTCACTTCAGATCATGTCACATGGTTGAAATAGTGTACTGAACCATCAAACACAAAATTGACAGATATTTTCATTTGTTTTATTTTAATTTAACATCATTCCTCTTCTTATTTATCTACTGTCAAGTTTTCATTAATGGTGCAAATGATATTTGCTTATTTTACTAAATTCTCTACCTCTATTTAATAAATTTCGAACTGTGCTATTTACTCATGTGCTAATCTCATGCAGAATTTGAGCAATTATTACTGCAACTATCTGTTAAATGTTGGAAGCAGATAAAGATATGGGATTGCATTCTAATTTAAGAACATCCCAAAACACGACAAAAGATGCTTTTTCTGGGTTTGGCAGTTGAACTGCATTCATTTTCACATACATTACTGCCTTTCTCGGGCCAGTCCTTAATGTCTCTTCTCCTTTGTCTCCCACATCATGTATGAAGCAGTTTGCATGTTGATTTGTTCAGTTCCCAGTGCTGCCTGGTGACTGAAAGCCTATTTGACGTCATTCTGTGATTTGTGTTATTTCTAATGTTCCTTTTTTTAGCTTGGTGTTTGATAGCCCTTTCCTGTGTGGTGTTGCAGATGCTGGGACCCTGGACCTATGGACCAAATTTTCTCTGCTAGGTTACACTTTGGGTCTTTTGTATTTATCTTTCATGTATTCCATCTTCTTAATGACTACTTTGATGTCAGTTTTGAGGAGACGTGATCACGTTTCCTCATGATATATGGCCTGTCCTAGAACTGTAGATTACCAAGTGCGGAACGTGTTTCCTGAAACGGCTGTCATCAGTACAAGTCTGGAATATCTGTCCTTTTTTATTTAATTTTTCCTGTTTGGTCCGGCAAATAAAATAAAGGTACAAACTTCTCAATCCTTAGGGAAGTTTGAAATCTTTGACCTTCTGGGGCAACGCCTTCAGTGAGACTAGTGGTTTGAATAAGTGGTGATCCTATAACAGTTGCCTGATCCAGATGAGTGATGAACAGTTGCTGTATATCTTTTAGGACACAAAATGCATTCTTTGGTTTTGTTTCATTCTTGCTAGCCTTGAGTTGACATATAAATGTGAGAATAGTTACCCAAGAATTTGTAATAGAGTTAGAATGAATCTGTGGTTGCAAGTTGTTGACAATGTTTAGGAAACAATCACTGTACTGAAAAAGTAGCGACACAGCAAGATTAATAGTAATTTATTACCTGCAAAGAATCTGCTGTACCATTTTATGCATGGTGGTTATGTTTTTGCTTTGTTTGTTGCCATAACCCACTCTGTTGGCAGGTCCCTGACGAGCACCCTGGGGTTAATGCTGCTCCAAGACGAATTAGGGCTCCTCTCAGCTTGACTAGCGTTCTCCTTGCTCATGCATTTCAGAATTGTTTTTCTAGGCTGGCTGCAGGCGCACGGAGGAAGCTCAGGTCTGGATGTCTAGTTTCAGCCATTTATTTGCAGCTAGAAAGAAAATGAGAAGAAACACAAGCAAGGAAGAAAAATTGGATTTTTAGAGTGCAGCTCTAAGGGCACAGGTCCACATATGTTTGATTTGGCAGCAAAGCGCTTTTAAGAGGTTCTACCTTCTCCCACTCCATCCCTCCTCTGTGCCACGGTTTTCCACCTGTCAATTCTGCTGATGCAGCTCTCTGTGGGAATGCAATATAAACCTTTTTGGAGGAAAGGAACGGGTCTTTAATGTGTGATTCATGTTATAGTCCCTAAAGTGGTTGCATTCAAACAAACTAGGGTGTGAAGTACAGCACGGGGCTGGGTGTCAAGGGGCAAAGGGAGCCAGTTACTGTTAAGTCTGGAAGTTAGAGCCCTGCCATGCGTCTATGTTGTGAGTCCATCTCTGAATACATGACTTACCAAGTGCTGTTTGCTGTCTTCTTAGTATGGAAAGAACATTTCAGTACAAAAGTTACTCACAGTACTGTACTTCACTCTTTGTTAATAGGCACAGTGATGACACCAAACTACATAGACTCAAATAGTCTCAGCGTTGCCCCGTGGTGTGACTGCAGCAACAGCGGTAACGACATAGATGAATGCATGAAATTTCTGAATTTCTTCCAGGACAATACATGCCTTAGTGAGTACAAAATTAGATGTCTTTAAATGTGTTTTAGCGTGTTTTCTGGAATTTCCTTACTGTTTAAGTATGTTACGATACATCAAGGCCATCTCTTTGCACTTTGTAAGCATGGTTCTACTGTAAGTGTAAGAATTAAACAGACAAGCAAATACACCTGATACTATGGCCAAGATTGCAAACATAAGAAGTTCTTGGAACATAATTCAAATAACAAAGTTGTACCACATAGCAATATGTTTATATCACAGATCATGTTCGGACCCTAACAGTCAGGCAGCATCTGTACCAAAAAATTGCAACACCTGAGGGGCTTCTGTATAATTTAAGAACTTCATATAAAAAAAGACATGTAGTTTATGATATGAAGGATTTGCTGTAGGTAAGTATAAATTGGATTGTGCTTGCAATTTACAGCCAAGCTTCAGGTTTTTTAAGCTACTTGATCTCAGATGCCTGGTTTTAACACAGGTCTGGATGGTACCTATTTTCATGATTTTGTTGAATTATTGATTTTTTTTTTTTCAGTCACACTCACTTCCAAATTAGGGACTATTATAAATTTCAGAATGGCTTAGTGGAGTCGATTTTGGCAGGTTCTATTTTCAAATTTCCTGTCTGCCTGGAGTAGCATAATTGGATGATGTGGATTGTGCATCAGAGTTTTAATTTCAGATAAATGAGGAGACCAAAAGAGCTTGGCTTCCCTAGCCTAGCAGAACAAGAAGTTGAAAGGATCCGTGATTGTCCTCTGAAATTGCATTAGAGGGGCAAGCCCAGGCAGGGAAAAGGATTACTTAACCTAGAGGACAATGTTGGCACAAGATCAAAAAGGGAGATATTGGACATACATATTTAGGCTCGAAACTGGAAAATTTTTAACCATCAGACTAAAGTTAAGAAATAGGCTTCCAGCAGGAGTTTTGAGGGTAAAAAATTCTTACCAGTTTTAAAAGTCATATTTCATCAGCTTATGAAAAGAAGCGTACATCATTTCTTTTTTCAAAAATAGCAAATGAACTCGATGATCCAGACTGTCCCATCCAGCCCTGTATACTTGAGCTAATGTTAATGCAGAGCTCAGTCTGTATTTTAGTATAAGGTCTGAAAATCTCCCTTGGTAGCTTCTCAACAGGCAGCATTGTTGTGAAGACATGGGGAGGTTTGCATACAAAAAGTGAGTGACTTGAGTTGCTATTTGGTACACTCTTTAATAAGTTTTGGAAGAATGAATCAAGTACTTAAGATCATTTAATAAAAAAACCCAGAAAACAATCCAGACTATGACTGTGTAAAAATTAACAATATAACATCAGACCTTCTTCAAACCTAATGGGGCTGCCATTTATAGATACTGTAATACGTCAGATTTTATTCATTTGTGAATGTATTAATTGCTAGACTATTACAGGTTCCTTTTAGAACATAAAGACAGAGCGATCCCTTGTCCTTTCTTTTGCTATTGGTATAAAAGCATTAATGAAGACAAATCAAAGACATTAGAGGTTACTGTGAGACAAATTATAGTCATCCTAGCTGTAAGAGATGTCTTCTTCATGAAGAAATCGAAGTTATTTCTGCTTTAATAGAAAGTTTTTCCTCTTACAGAGAACGGGAAAAGTTCCAATTTTTTTTTTTTTTAAATTGTTATTGTCATTAATGGGCCTTCCAGTGCCTGGAGAAAATGTCATGTGTTTATTGGATGAGATTAAAATCCCTCCCACTTTTTTTAGACAAAACAAAAATCGGTTTTCCACAATGGGATTAAACTAGGAATTTCTTGCTAATCTCTTTTGCTAAAGTATACTTCCCCTTCAAACTGGAAAATACATCAGTGATTTGGGGCATTTACAGAAGATGTGGAAAACCTAGCTTAAATGTTTAGTCAAAAACCCATTTGGTTATTTATGCAAAGTGGAATAGCTGAGCCTGTACCCTGAGGGCTAGGGGACTCAGAAAGCTGGAGACCTAGGTTCACATTCATACTGTGCCTGATGTGGAGCTGGGATATGAAGCTGAGTTTACCATGTCCCACATGCACTTGCCTAGAAATTCCATTTACACTTTTTTGCTTATGCTTTTATGCTCTTTATTAGAAGATGCAAGTTTATTGGTAATATAACAGTGGTCCTAATTGCTGCCTCTCCAGTTAGGGTTTGGCCAATCTTAAATTCTGGAAATCCATCTTAAGACTTTATTTTAGCTACTCTGAAAGTGAATATCCTGACATTCATTTACATACTGTAGAATTCCTACTGAACTGAATGGGATTCAGTATATCTACCCATCTGTTCAAAGGATTTGTTCACACCTGCTTTATACTGCAGTAAAAAGAATTGGCAAGTGGGAGGAAAAGCATAAAGCAGTGGTTAGTTAATAAAAATTATTGAAAGGACCTTTACTATAGCAGTTAGATACTTGAAGCACCTCCTTGCGGTCATTATATTGTTTGAAATATATTTGAAATATGTATGAAAATTATGTATATAAAATATATATTTAAAATATAATTTATATGTTTGAAATATTACGAAAATATGAGAAGGGATGGAACACCTCTCCTGTGAGGAAAGGCTGAGAGAGTTGAGGTTGTTTAGCCTGGAGAAGAGAAGGCTCCGGGGAGACCTTATTGCAGCTTTTCAATACTTAAAGGGGGCTTATAAGAAAGATGGGGACAGACTTTTTAGCAGGGCCTGTAGCAATAGGACAAGGGGTGATGGTTTTAAACTGAAGGAGGGTAGATTTAAGCTACATAAAAGGAAGAAATTTTTTACGAGGGTGGTGAAACACTGGAAGAGGTTGCCCAGAGAGGTGGTAGATGCTGCATCCCTGGAAACATTCAAGGTCAGGTTGGACGGGGCTCTGAGCAACCTGATCTGGTTGAAGATGTCCCTGCTCATTGCAGGAGGGTTGGACTAGATGGCCTTTAAAGGTCCCTTCCAACCCAAACCATCTCTGATTCTATGGTTCTATCATAGAATCATAGAATATCTCAAGTTGGAAGGGACCCATAAGGATCATTGAGTATGATTCTATGAAATACCTAAAGACAACTGATTGTAAAGACCACTTTTACTTAGAAAACTGGACGGATTGCATGTATTTCTGTGATCCTTCTTGCAATAATGGAAACAAAGAGTTACTGTTAGTTTAGGAAATCATAGGAAAATATTGCTTTATATATTGCCTTATTCAGGTAAAACCAAGAAAAATATCATTCCACTCTTCCCATTTTGTTCCCATCAATCCAGCTGATTGTGGTGCCTTTTACAAATTCTTCTCTTTGCATGTTGGAGTTCTAAGGACTAATATCAGAACAAAATACATCTTTTTCAGATGAGAATTAAATGTAAATTATTTTATAAAGCGAGGAATACCACTGAGAAGAAGTATTAATAACTTCCACATATTAGTCCCCAGTGAAACTGTTTGATTTCTTGTACAAAGAATTTGAAATAAGAAATCCCTAAATCCATGTTGAATCCCCAAAGACCTGATTAAAAACTGTTTTTCTATTTGTTTATAAAAAAACCCAACCAATTTACTCTTGCCATAAACACACTCTTTAATCCCATGAAACTATGATAAGCTTTTTAACTTTTATATTCTAAAGTTTTAGTTTAAGCGTGCTTCCCTCACCTAATTATGCAGACTTTGATTGAAAACTGTAAGGAAAAGATTGTCTTAGTTAAACCATTTTGTAGTTACAGGCATATTAGTTTTACTAGAACAAGCTGTAGAAATAAATTAATATTTTGCCTTCTCTCTCTTTTTAGTTTGCTATGTAGCACCACCCGCCTGAATTAGGACATAACATTCAAACTGTATTTTAAATCTTGAATGTAAATTTTTGAGGCTTTTGGATGGTAACAAATATGATTACAGTAAGTCCTAGAGCTTCTGTTAAGAATTACTGGGAACATTACAAAGAAGAGGCTGTACCAGATAATTATGTGACCCCAGACTCTCAGTTCATGTTTCTGATATGTTCAAAATTAAGACACATTTTTCAGCATAAAAATTGAGTTTCTATAAATACACATTTTCAATGGAATAATAATAATAATGATTAAAAAGTCAGTTCTGCTTTCTGCCATTTGTTTAGAAATAGAAAATTGCCTGTGATTTATTTTTACAGAAAATGCAATTCAGGCCTTCGGCAATGGTACTGATGTGAATGTGTGGCAGCCAATTTTACCAGTACAGACCACTACAGCCACAACTACAACAGCTTCCAGACTTAAAAACACAGGTTCAGAGACCACCAACAATGAAATACCCACCCACAACGATTCACCAGCATGTGCAAACCTGCAGGTAAGAGAGTCTTGTACTTGTTGCAGTGCATAAGTGAAGGTTTTTCATAGATATGTATACAGAGTAGTCTCCTGCTGCATAAATAGGTGCTTGCTTAAATTGGAATATCTGTTTATTCCCATGATGTAGTTACAAGCTGTATATATTGTAAAATATCAGACTTCCATATTTTAAATCAGAAAAATGCATATGTCAAAGTGGACTTTATTGCCTCTCTGACTCTGAAACAGGGCATAGCATTTAACTTGTTATCATAGGTTTGGCTATGAACGTGGCACTCTCCAAAGCCTGCCAGGATATGTCAGATTAGATTAATCCCTTGAGTAATCCAAATTCAGAGGGAACTCTTAATGTCAGCTAGCGTGTCCTGCTGCCTTCTTTCTTATGTTATTGGCAGTAAACTTAAGAGGTTTTTTGGCTGAGTAGGTCTGGATGTTGGAGAATATGTGGTGCTACAAACTTCATGATGAAGAAGATGGACAAAGATAAAAGCTGTTTTGAATCAGGTGCTTTCCTGAACTGGAGTCAAGGTCATGATGTGATTTTGGCCAATGGCTGTAGCAATTTTTTTTTGACACTTCAATTAAGCTATTCATGGTGCATCATTGACTCTGGATTTAAAGAGGTTCATCACTTGTTGAAGGCAGTTTATGCAGCTCTTAGAAAGTTTGAAGAACTTGGGCAGGAGACAACTGCAAAATCAAGGCAACAAAGAGGTAACAGGAAATGTAAGCTGAAAACATCCTTCGGCCAGATTAGAATCTGGGGTTATAAAAATTTCTGGTGATTTAAATGCAAAATTAGTTCAGGGATAGATCAGCTTGGCCTGTTTATTTTTGTCTTTACAGGAGGAAAATTGCTATGTGACACAAATGAAAGTGTCCAAGTCTCATCTGGTATCAAGATACTTTTTTTTCTGGATTCCCAAACTCTTCCACACTTGTAGCATTCACATTTCACTTACTTATAAAAAACTGATTTTGTATTCTTCATATTAAACTGTATCAAAGTTTCAGTGTTCACTAAAGTGGACAGTTTATATCCCTCAGAAATGTATTTTGCTTCTTAATTTTTCCTGCACCACTCTCTCTCATCTTCATCCTTTTCTAGTTTCTCCATTTATTTTGCATTGGCACATTGCATATGAATTAACATCTTTCAGAGGCATTACGGAGTCACAAAGTATATGGGGTTAATGACAGATGGTGTTGAGTTTAGGTCCTTCTGTTTTAATTCTATTTTTCATATCTGTGCATTCATTATTAGTTAAGCTTTGTGAGTTATTGATGAGAGGGAGATAGTCGTAGACATATATTTCTATATGCAGTAGTCATTTGACCAAATAGCATATGCTAAAAAGAAACATGACCTTTTAAACCTGGAACTTGGAATATCTTGCATTTAAAGCAAGACCTTGATGGGATATTATTAATTCACTTCATGTTATATTAAGAAGTTGTTTTATGGGAGAGATCACATTTTCCCTCAGTGTTTGTACTGTCCCCTATAGAGTAAGGTCTCCAGATGCTACCAAAATACACATGATAAATAATGAACTGAAGAAACGGCAAGTGATCACAAATCCCATTGGATTCAGTTTGATTTGCAAGTGTTCCTCAAGCCTGAATAAATGTTCAGTATTTTGAAAATGAATGAAATTCTTCCCTGTCCTTATTCCTGTTACTCTGGCATTTTGAAGTCACATCTTGCACCACCCCAACATTCCACGTGAGTTTATCAGCACTGGTTTAAAGCTATGTTATGACTTCAAGCGCACCCCTGATATACTTGACACAAGACGTA